AACGGCGTTACACCGCATCCCCAAATTGGGTAAAAAATGTATGGTAACGAAGAAGATGGTTCGAAAAGAACCAAAATTTCTAAGACAAGTTATACTTCATCAGATGCACATTTTGGGTTTGATTTGAATGAAGAGGATGAACTTGAAGAGGTAGTTCGCCCAATGGGTCGAGATAAGATGAAAAATAGAGGGTTTTCGCCTTTCGGCGAATACATCAGGAATCAAAAGCGGAAATGATATTCAAAAGATAGCTAGTAGTTTCAAAATTTATAATTTGAATTTCAAAAACCGTTTGAATTTTGAAAATGAGAATTTGGAGGAGAAAAGAATGCTCGAGGTGAAGCAAAGATCGCAAAAAAAAAAGTCACGACATGAAATTTTTAACAAAAAACATCGATTATGTCATTGGAAAAAAGTTTGATATGTTTTTAAGGACTAGAGCGGAAATCATGAAAAAATATTACGACTAGTCTTATTTTGCATCGTTTTAATTTAATATCGTTTTTAGCTATGTAATCGTTTTTAATAAAATTAATGGAATATTTCTTTTTTTTATTAATATAAATATATATATTTTAAATATTTATATAATTAATAGATTACATTAAAAAATGAAAAATATATAGTATATGGTAAAGTGTGGTACAGGGAAAAATAAAAAGAAAAATAATATGGAGGTGATATATTACCACACCCACTGGTCTTCTCATTGACTAAAAATAATAAATTGACAATTTTAGAACAAATATAACCACGCAAACCACATGAACCAAAAACTCCAGAAAGTGTGCATCATTTTTCAGTAGACGGATCAAATTTGTGGAAACTCTCTCTAAAAGTAAAAGCCTAGTCTTGTATGAAATTTACGAGAAACCCGCAAATCTTAGATTTTATCTTGTGTTATAAATACAATCGAGTGTTTTATAGTTGTTCAACATTCCAAAAACCATGTCGGACCTTCTCCTCTCTCTTTCCATTTCTCTCTTCCTCTCCCCCCTTTTCTTCATCTCAATTGATGCTCAATCCAGTAACTCAACTTACCCCAACTGCCCTTCATACAACTGCGGGAACATCAATATCAGCTACCCTTTTTGGAGGATCGGCAGTGAAACCTCCACCCAGTTCTGCGGTTACCCTGGTTTTGGAATCAATTGCTCTAACGACGGTGATCAACGGGATATTCCAACTATTAATTTGGGAAACGATTCTTACTATATCCAAAATATAATTTACGGAAGAAGAAGTATCGTCCTCATAGACTACGACGTTTTTACTGCCGTTGGCCCAGCCCTCGATTGCCCAAGGGTGGACCATAATATTTCCATCGAAAGCTTGCCTTTCAATATCTCGGATCAGAACGTTAACATAAGCATTCACTTTAATTGTAACGGAGTTCCTCCTTTTTCTCATGAAATACCGTGTCTGAGTTCCCGGACTAATAAGTCGTGCGTTAATAGTGTGCATTCCGAGCCGGCGAATTTCAATTGGGATGAGTACTCATGCGATGACGATGTTATTGTAACAACGGTGTTGGATGTATTTCCTTCAACAAATGGGGTGGGGATAGAGTTCAGCAAAGCATTGAGGGGAGGATTCGAGCTAAGATGGTGGGAAATAGAGGATTGCGAAATGTGTGAAAATTCCGATGGCCGGTGCGGTTACAATAATGATACAAGAGAGTTCATGTGTTTTTGCTCCAGCGGTACGACCACGAAGGGTGACTGTAAAGGTACGTTCACTAAAACTACGCGATTCAAATTGAATCCCACATTTACCTCTGTTTAGGCAAAAATTACTAGCTTTCGGAAGCTTAGAAATAGTCAAATGAGAACATTAGCTAACGTGGATGACTTAAACAAGTCGTGCTATAGTCAACACGTCTTGAAAAGTCAAAAAACTGAAAAAATAAAACTTTTACTTGCTAAAAATGATATTCTTTATTCTTAAACATAAATTTTGTTCTCAATTTTTTTTTGAAACGTTAACATCTAAGCTTATATATGTATATGTAATTTAATTATAGTATTAACTGATGATAACCATCAGTATCGGTTCTATTACCAATTTACCATCTCGTAAGAAACGGACCAAACATTATATAAGTCTAACTAACTACCATAACGAGAAAATTTTATTAATAAGCGTCAAAATCTCGTTTTCAATCAATTTATAATAAATATAATATTCAATTTTAATTGAATAGTCAATAATACAAAAAGTCAAAACTAGCAGGAACATATTCTCAAAACTAGCAGCCACACATTCTTCATTTGGATCCCTCTCTCCCAGATGCGTGTTCGTTGAGACCCAATGATTCGATTAGCAATTCTACGTTTAACTACACTTTATTTAGTTGCTTTCCAGATTTATAAAGTGTTTTTCTAACAATTCATAAAGTTTAATCGTATTTTTTATACAAAGTAAAAACTTATAACCTTCTTTATGTAGTTATATCCTTAGACTCTCCGGTATGCATACCATGAAATGGGTCATGGTCTAGGTGGCCACAAACATGGTGAGTGCACACCATCCCGGGCCCTGGTTGTTCTTAGGGAATAGGGATTCATTCCCTCCCAATCCATTGAATCCACTGTCACATCATTTTTCTATTTTATTTTTATTCATTTTTTTCCAACCCACAATACACGGAAACCATATCTTTTTGAACTCACTCAACTCATTCAATTAAAAAAAATACAAAACAATCAATGTAAAATCTTAATTAGCAATAGAGTTTCCACCGGTACCACTCCCGTTTCAGCGGGTTGTTTAATTGGTTTCACTAACCCACTTCATCATCTCTCTTTACTCTCTCTCTCTCTCACTTTCTTTTATACCATGTGTTTTAAAAATTGTACCTTTGTTGTTTTGTATTTTTTTTAATTGAGTGAGTTGAGAAATATAGGATTTCTGTGTGTTGTGGGTTGGGAAAGATGAAGAAATAAAAGAGACAAAAATTGATGTGCCAGTGGGTTCAGTGGGTTGGGAGAGAATGACTCCCTCCTCCCTTAGTGGTCGTGGTGAATTATTGTCCATACCACGGATACGCCACCTCCAATCAAATTCTTTTTCTCTCTAACTTTTTCTACCTCTCTCTACAATAATATATATATATATATATATATATATATATATATATAAATTAAAAAATAAGAGATATATAGTGTTAGGTATCTCATAGGTTTAGTGGTTGAATGTGGTGATGAGGTGACATCCAACACTATAATGGTTAGTGGTGGGTATAACGGATGACCGTAGCCTAACATTTTTTAGGCTAAAACAGGGAGAAAACCTGCTAAAACCGGTAACACTGATGGTTTTTTTTGAACATTTTGGAAACATTGATTGTATAATTAATTGTATAATGTACATATAAAAGCTTTAGTGATGTTTTTTTTAATAAAATTAGAACTTTATTCCTAATTTTCATGATGTTTTTTGAACCTAACTGAAACTTTATTATGTTCCAAAGAAAAGTCGTTTACATTGAATGTTGTATGTTCAGATTTGAGGGAGATATTTCATGCCTTCTGAGATCCACCTACAATATAGGATAAAAGGCTAAAATCAATGATTTTAGCTTTTATAAAAAGAAAGTTAAAGTCTTGAGCAGTTGAACACCTTTAATGCTAGAGAAATTAAATATCATCTTACATTTTATTCATACTTATCTTCTTACCTAATCAAATGTTGACATGTTTCATATTTAATGACACATTTAATGAAATTGATAATATTTTAGTCCACTTGTCACTATTTAATGTGGATAGGAGTATAGTAGAACTAAAATGTAGGAGGATATTTAATTTCTGTTCATGCTAATGTCTTGAACCGAAGAAAAAACTGCAAATTTTGATCTAAATTACCATTATTGATAGTTAAAATGTTGGTTAAGGTTATTAAAAAACACAGAAAAACATCATCAACTTATCAAATTGTGAACAACATGACATAAGAAAAAAATGGTTACTCATATTCACAGCCCATAAGTAGGATAAAATGTTAGATGTAAATCCATCTCTCATGTGAAAATAAATAATTTTATTTGTGTCGGAAAAAAAATTATAAACTTAATCACTGAACAACTTGAGCCTCCTTAAGTAGACGAAACACACTTGTATAAGCTTTCATTAAAAGCATGTTACTAAATTAACAGAAAAATTGATTTTTAATGTCAATTAGCACTATAAAAATATAAAGTTATTGAAAACCCCCCAAAAAAAAAAAATTAACGCAACAATACAAACTTCAACATGTGTTATAAATAGAATCCAGTGTTTGTAGTCGTTGTTTCAAGTTTAACATTCCAAAAACCATGTCTTGCCTTCTCCACTCGCTTTCCCTCTCTCTCCTCCTCCTCATCCTCTTCCCCTTCTTGTTCTTCATCTCCATGGCCGCTCAATCTAATGATACGCGTTACCCCAGCTGCTTTTCATACAATTGCGCAAACATCACAATCAGTTACCCTTTTTGGAGGCTCGACAGTGAAACCCCTACCCAGTTCTGCGGTTATGAAGGTTTTGGGATCAATTGCTCCAACAATGTTCCAATTGTTTACTTCGGAAGCGATTCTTATTATATCCCTAACATAAACTACGAATCTAAGAGTATTGTCCTTGTGGACTACGACGTTTCTCCCGTCGTCCCCGACGTCGTCTGCCCGAGGGTACGCCATAACATTGATTGGGGAGATTTGCCTTTCAATTTCTGGGGGCAAAACGTTAACCTAAGTTTTCATTTTAATTGCACTGGAGTACCTGATTTTGCAAGAGAAATAGCGTGTTTGAGTAACCCTACTAATAAGTCGTGCGTTAATAGTTTGAATTTCGAGCCGGAGAATTTCAATTGGACGGTGTACTCTTGCGATGACGCGGTGGTAACGACGGTGTTGGATGTATTCAGTTCAGCAATGGCGCTGGAGACGGAGTTCAGTAGAGCCTTAAGACAAGGATTTGAGGCAAAATGGGGGAGGACGGAGGACTGCGAAAAGTGTGAGGAGTCCGGTGGGCGCTGCGGTCATAATAACAGTACGACGGAGCTCATGTGTTTTTGTTCCGGTGGTGCGATCACTATGGGTCATTGTAAAGGTACCTTCGTTGAAACTCCTGGCTTCATGTTAAATTACACATCTACCCCTATTAAAAAAGCAAGCACATAGAAATAGTCAATGACCACATTATCAGCCGTGGTAAAATTTCAATGGATGATATGCACAAAATATAATTTGTTTATATTATATCTAGCTAGTTGATAACACTAGTCGTTCTACCGACTATATACATAGATAAAATTTTGTATATTTTGATGCTGAAATTAAACTTAGTATTTATATCTTCCAAATTACAATATTTATTATATAATCAAGGGAAAAATAGAACATAATTATATAAATAAATTTAACTTTAATCATAAATTAATACTCATTCTAATATGTTATAATTACATAAGTAGTTTCTCATTTCAATTTTCAAACAATTTATCGTAAACTTCAAATTGAATAGTCAACTATCCGAAAAGTCAAAACTAGCAGCTAAACGTTCTTTCATTCCTAGTCTCTGTCTCCATGGAAATTTCAAGCTATCACACTTCTATTGACCATCCATACCTTCAATTCATCTGCTCAATTTCCATCTTCATTTCAAACTCTACATCTTGACGATGATGTTTCCTTTACTCATCATCTTCATTCTATTCCCAATTCTTTCTCTCGCAAACATCCAACAATTTAACGAATGTTCAACCACGTTATACACTTGTGGTCAGGCGATCACATATATAAGCTATCCCTTTTGGGGAAACGGTCGTCCTTCTTACTGTGGACTCGAGAGATTCGAACTTACTTGCAGAGAAGACAACATCACCACTCTCCAAATCAACACCACAACGTTCCGTGTTGGTCGAATCGATCAAAACAATACTAAACTCACCCTCGCCCTTGATGATCTCTGGGAAGGTGATCAAACTAATGCTTGTTTGTTGAGACCGAATGAATCGATTGACCTTACCACGTTTGGCTACACTTTTTTTAGTTACGTTCCCGTTGGATCTCTTTTTCTAAGTGTATACTTTTCGTGTCTGGAAGATGTGGTTAGGTCGATTCCGAATAGGAACAGGTTTAATTGTTCCGGTGATGAAGATGGGAGAGTTAGTTTCATTGGGAATCGATCGATTGCTGTAGGGGATGGATGTGAGCGTGTGATTGGAGTGCCGGTTTTGAGGTCGGCGTTTGAGGATTTTAACCGGAGTGAAACGATGCCGTTGCAGGAGTTGTTGTGGATGGGTTTTCAGATGGAATACAGGGTGGACGGCGGCGGAATTTGCTCCCGGTGTCAGACCTCCGGTGGGTCGTGTTGGTCCAATTTGAATTCCTCCACCCCTTCTTGCATTTGTCCCGATGGTGTTTCCCGCTTGTTATGCGACTCAGGTTTGTCGCTCGCTCAAATTTCTTTTGATTATTTCTATAGAATTTTAGGAGTTCTTGAAAAAGATGATAAAAATTAGTAATCTTTAAAATAAATTAGTATAAGAAAAACTAAGATAATATCTGGTTTTGAATCGAGATGTCACACAATCAAAAGATAATTCCTGGATTCAAATGTCATTTGTATACTCTCACTTTTTTTTATAAATAAATAACATAAAGCACCTACAAATTAACTACAATCGCAATAAGAATTGACTAGCAGTATATCACCTGACTCATGTAAAGAGTTAATAGCTTATAGCTCACTAGTTACTTTCATAATAAATGTGTGTATATATAAGAAAAACTTAAAATTAATAATGTTTTATGAAGAACAAAAATAAATATGATTGCGACAAGAACAAAATACTACAAAATTTCCCAGCTCCATGTGCAACCTCTCCACACTTCACTTCACTTCACATGCGTATTGCTTGTTTTTATATTCTACCTATAATTTTCAAGCTAATTTTCAATTATATAAATAAAAAGGGCATTCTAGGCTTCTAGCTAATAAACTAGATATTGAGAGCTTAGGATATTTTGACGTATCGCAACTATTGCTCCTCTCATAGGGTATGATATTGTTTATTTTCATTTTGCATTAAAGAGATATTGATAGCTAAGGCTATTTTGAGGTGTCACAACTAGTTAATAAACTAGTTTATTTTTCAATTCTTTTTTATTGGTATATTTGGCAAACCAAAAACTCGTTTTTCAAATATTTAAATCCGAACCTTACACTCAAACCGATGGGTTTAGTCTGTCAGTTTTTCAGTTTTTCTAGAGAACCAAGTTTGCCTTGTATAAGACATGAAGGGGGCATATGTTTCATATGGGATTCAAAATAAAATGAGTCATGTCAAAGGTGAGATTCGAACCTGGTAACATACCTTTTGCGTCCAACGCCTTAACAATCTACACACCTTCCTACTTGTATTTAATCTTCACAACACTAAAATATAATACGTGTGTGT